GAAAGATATTATGCTGCATAAGTCAACTCTGTCTGCCTACATTAATAGATATTTAATAGATAGCAATTGTGTCTGCACTTAACAGGAATCTTCTCCATATATTCTGATCATTGAGTTTAGCACAAAAGGAAAAAGGTGAGAGGCACAGGTTGTAACAACTGCCCTCGAAGAACTTCAAATATACCTGTGGAGACATGACAGCACAAGACAACGCAAGAAGGCAATATAAGTTATAGGCATTGGCTATAATTCCTGCACAAGGTAGAAGAACGATAAAATCAACGGAGTCCAAAGTACCTGGAGATCACTTTCTGGAGAAGTTGTCATTAAAGCTTTGACAGGGCAGTAGATTTGGAAGGTGCTGAAAAGTAAGAATTGAACCACAAGCAGAAGGAACAGACATGAAGAATGGAACTGGGTGAGAACAATGTGGCAGCCATTAGACACTCTGCTTGACTGAGTAACAGAGATTATATTGAAGAACAGTGTAAAATTCATGGAATGTTTAGGAAACCTTTAAAAAAATAATATATCCAGAAGACACATTGTATAAATTTTTAGCTATTTCCCCCTTGAGTTTCTTAAAACATAAATTGTGAAAAACTAATATCATAGGATGTAAAATTGGAAAACTTTGACCCCTTAAAGCAATAGTTATCAGATACTAATGTGATTTATGAACCAGATCACCTCGTAGAAATTCCCTAGTGGGAATGTAAGAACTGCACAGATATCTCCTACATTTCTAATCCAAAAGGGTTGGGAGACCTGGAGATTGGGGGAAGATTTTATGGAGTGAGCCGAGGGTGTACTAGAAATATACATAAGGAAAGATGGTATAGGGTGTTTTCCCCCTCGGAACCAGAAATAGCTACTTCAAGGAGACTCTCTAGAGAGTCTAAAAGTTATCTCTTGAAGTTTTGAGGTTTTAGTGGAGACAGTGGACTGGTTTCTGATGAATTCAGAGACCAAAGATGAGGCGGTGAGCAGCTTATGGTAGAGCAAAGTAAAGATTCTGAATGGGGATTCATCTATTTTTCAGGGTCATTAGTTTCCTCTGGAAGAGAGGTGGGCCACGAATATGAAAGAGCTGTCATGAGGTTGTCCTAGGTATTTCCTTAAGGCTTCCCAGCAACTGAACTGGTCTCAGCTGACTAGTGGCTGTGGATGGAGTAAGTAACAAAGTGAGACAGTACGACCGACCCACATCAGGCAGAGTACAGGTGAAGGATTTCCAGTGATTGGAGGGGAGTATTACTGAAGAACCAGGAAAAGCTCCAACGGGGAGAGAACCAACTTTGTGCCTGCCCCAAAGAGTGAGCCTTCTTGCTTAGCGAGCAGAAAGTAAGCACTTTGCTTCTTCATTTACCTCTTGTTACCTCACCTTTCCTTTTTCACTCCATTTCCACATTACAGAGGCATCAGGATCCAAGGTTCACTAGCTGGAAAAGAAGGACATGGGGGAAAAATAGGGACCAACAAATTCCTTTCCATTGGCTATTGGCTGCCATTTGCAGCAGATTCTAGCTACAGAAGACTGTTAAAACTGTAAGCTAGTTTGTCACGTGCAGCTGGGTGTTCTGATTTCTAAATTGAGAATATGTTTGATGCGCTAGCAGGGGTCCCCAACCCCCAAGCCGTGGACAGGTAACTGTCTGTGTCCTGTTAGGAACCGGGCCACACAGTGGGAGATGAGTGGTGGACAAGCAAGCATTACTGCCTGAGCTCCACCTCTAGTCACATCAACTGTGGCATTAGATTCTCATAGAAGCATGAACCCTCTTGTGAGCTGCACATGCAAGGGATCTAGGTTGTGTGCTCCTTATGAGAATCTAATACCTGATGATCTGAGGAAGAATGGTTTCATCTGGAAACCATTCCACCTTCCCCATCTTTAGAAGAAATTGTCTTGGTGCCAAAAGATTTGAAGACTACCAATTAAAGTAACCATAAGATTTTTTTTTAGTAAGTTCTAAGTGATCAGGGTCTAGGTAGAAGCCTGATTCTGGTTGGCCGAAGACATGTGTTATTAGTTTCTTTGGCTGCCATAAAACATTACCACTAATTGAGCAGTTTAGAACAAGAGAAATTTAGTGTCACTTTTCTGTAGGCTAGAAATCTAAAATAAAGGTGTGGGCAGCGCTCTGCTGTCTCCAGGGGCTCCGGAGGAGAATCTGTTTGATGCCTTTCTCTTAGTTTCTGATGTTGCTGGCATTCCTTGGCATTCCTTAGCTTATAGATTTATCACTCCGATCTCTGCGTGTCTTGTCATATGGCTCTCTGTCTGTGTGTGTCTTTGTGTTCACATGGCATTCTCTTCTCCACGTATGTCCATCCCTGTGTCTCATCTCTTCTTATAAGGTTACCAGTCATACTAGTTTCAGGGCCACCTTATTCTAGCATAACTTCATCTTAAATTACATCTTAATTGCGTCTGCAAAGATTCTTTCTGAGTAAGATCATATTTAGGGTAAGACTTCAACATATCTTTCAGGAGTACATAATTTAACCCACAACAGATGTTATGCAGATTTTGGTGTACTTGATGCCTGTACCTGGAGTTAGGGATTGTTGTTGGTACGAATCAAAGTCCCTTCCTAATTTCTTTATTTAGAAGACATGTGTGCTGTACTCTTTCAAAATATACAGTGTGAGGTTCTGAGTCTGAAACAGTGTTTCTTAGTTAAGCCCAATCGGGGCTCAGCTATTAGAAATGCCGCTTTATATTTTGTCCATTTTCCTCCCAGTGCTGTTACTAATGTGTCTCTTCTTTGCCATCCTCTGAGCATTTTAACAAGAAATTGAGAAGACTCCTGATGGACACTGTGAGTGGACCTTACGTTAATCTGGACTTCATTTTTTTTTTATGCTTCCAGTTTTTGTATACATTGCCCCATCTTCCTGGAAAGACATACCTGCTTACCTGTCTGTTAGGCCTTAGTACTTCAGAGTTCTCTTTTGTGACATTTTCTTAGACCAAACAGTGCTGATTGTCAGCCATGTGTACCAGTTCAGCTATTCTGACTGATTTTTGTGGGGGTGGGGGACAGGGACTCTTTCTGTCGCCTGGGCTGGAGTGCAGTGCTGCAATCTCGATTCACTGTAGCCTCTGTCTCCTGGTCTCAAGTAATCCTCCCATCTCAGCTTTTCGAATAGCTAGGACTACAGGTATGCACCACCAAACCTGACTAATTTTTGTTTTTGTGGAGACAAGGCCTTGCCATGTTGCCCAGGCTGGTCTTAAACTCCTGGACTCAAGCAATCCTCCTACCTTGGCCTTCCAAAGTGCTGGGATTACAGGGGTGAGCCACTGCGCCCAGTCCTGACTTATTTTTTAAGATTATGTTTTAAATCCTTTTCTGACTCCAGAATATTCTTTTAATACTTCCTGCCCCTTCAAACTCTGTGTATTGTCTAATGGTGATATTTTCACCAATTACTTGAAATAATTGTCCACAGATGTGTTTCCTCCACTAAACTGTGCTTCTCTTAAGTCTCTTTTTGTTTGCTGTGGTTTCTTCAGTCTGTCACAGACATTGGCTTGCAGTAGGGGCTCACCAGGTGTTTTCTGAATTGGATCGAGTGTTCATAAGAATAGATAAGGGCCAGTTGCTTCAAGTGAGTCTTGAAGTATATCACAATTTCTTGAAGGCCTTCTTAAAGCTAAAGTTCTCAGCAAAATCAAGGGGAACCACTGCAGTCGAGCAGCTGACAGCTTACTAATCTTCTTGAAATACTGCTATTTAGTCTTTTTCACCCACCTGCCTGAAAGACCCAGAAGGACTCTTTCTTCCTTCATCATCATAGAGTCTAATTAATAAAGCGACAAAATAGGTAATGTCCAGTATGATATGATTCAATCATTTTATTGTGTGGGGCAGTGATTCTCAATGGAATAGTAAGCTTTCTTTGTTGTTGTTATGTAAAGAACAGTAATAATAATAGGAATAATGATGATATTATATTAGCTAATGCTTAACTTGGTACTATGCTATGTTCTTTACATGTTTTTATCTCAATTATCAACTCCATGGGGGATAGGAAAAAATATCATTCCTGTATTACAGATGAAAAATGAAGACTTACAGAATTTATTTGTCCAAAATCACACAATTGGTAAGATGAAGTGATTGCAGTTATATCACTATTCTTATGGCTGCTTTAGTCAATTAATCAATGTTGTTTTAAACTGTTAGCATCTTCTCTTTAGCCAAATAACTTTCTTAAGGGGTGAATTTAAAATTCTTACCTATCTATGTGACCGTCCTTTCTGGAAAGCTATTGCTCAGGCTTGAATTTTGTATTCTCCAATGTGAACATTTAGATAATGATGCAGTAAAATCTTTTATGGGATACTCCTCAAGATTGTTACACATTAAGGGAGGGAATAAGATATATTTTCATAACTTTTGACTTCGATAAAGTACTTTCCTCCTCATTGCAGCATAGAAAAGCTCTGAAATTACATCTCATAAGGAAGGAAATCTGTAATTATTTACAGTTATCCCACAATATCTCATTTTATTACTTTGTGGAAAGACCAAAACTTCCATGAATATTTTAAAACCCATGCTCACTAGTAGTGGAAAGAAAGTCAGTTTAGATAATTGTAAATTCCATTTCAGTCCGTTGTATTCCAAGTAAATGTTCTGTCTTGACACAGCTTACATCTTGTCTTTTGAAATGATCGAAGCTAGTGCCTTTTCTTGCTCGAGTGCCAGTCTTGTTCACATGTGAGAGAAGAAAGATAAGCAAAGAAAACAGGGCTGAGTATCTGCTGCAGTCACCCATGTTCTCAGCTGCAAGGGAGAAAGGACATTTGGGGAAGTAATTTGGCATTTAAAGCAAGTGTTTCCTGAGGCAGCTGCTGAATGGAGCTGAATATTTTGTTAAATTATTTTCTTCTCTGACCTTTATTACTAATGAATCTTCTTTAAGAAGCATTTAAAGAGGAAAAAAGAAAGGTTGTTTTTATTAATCTTCTTTCTCTTTTCCCATAGAACACAAAGAAATGGTGTTACCTGGCAAGAGATCTTCTGTCTTTTATGAAAAATTAGACAAAGGTAATGCTTATTTTGAATTGATATTTTTTTTTCAGTCTGTATAACTCTGATACATGAAACTAGTTGGCTATCCTTGATTACTGGTTTTAGATATTGAATTACCCATCAAAAAAGTAAATTATTATCTGAAAAGCCAAGGGAAGGCCTTACAATGATCATCAGATTGATAAAGTGAACAGTACATTTTTAGATATATAATAGCTTTTCAAAATATTGTGGGTAATGGTTAATTTTCTGATACCATTTTGAAGTTTATGTTAATATATAAATAGGATTTTGACTATAAGATTGCAGTCTCTTTGGAAATAAGTCCAATTGGTTTATCATATTTACAAATGATAGGTGATAACAGCATTAGACCTTTGTTAGGGTACAATGATAAGATTCTTTGTGCCTTTATTTGGCATTAGATAACTTTATGTATTTATTTGAATATACAAAAAAATTTCAATATGAATTTCTAAAAAATGTCATCAAGCTTTATGAAGACATCCTCATACAAAATACATATTTTCTTTGGAAAGATTGAATTATATCATACAGTTGTTGAATAGCATGCCTGATTATGCTTAACAGATTGCATATTTAGTTGCTAAATTTTCAAATCGCTAGGTGATTTATTTACATATGTTGTTCTAAGAATATGAAAACTCCTGCAAATATTCTAATGACATACGCATGTATAGAAAGTATGAGCATAGCGGCAGATAAACAATGTGTGTATGTTTTATGAATAAAACTCCTATCTCAAAAGAGATTTTTACAGAAAAGTTTCAGACAGTTTAGAATTTTGAAGGGAACTGAGACATCCATTTAGTCCTGCCTACTTATATAGCTATGAAGATGTGATGACACTGTATGTTCATGAACATACATATTAATGAAATGTATTATATATTTTTATATTAACTAGAATTGACTGGGTTTTATTTTGGACAAATTTCTGAATTTCTAAAAGCAAATGAGTACTGAAATAAAGGTAGCATTTAAATTTAATGGACATCAGCAGAAAACTTGTTTCTGAACTTTGATTTGCAGTTGAGCAAAAATAAATTGTTAAATTTGAATTACAAATGTGATATATTTCTACATATTTCTGGCTTCTAGTTAATTCTTCAAAACAGGTGTAAACTCCTTGAGAAAATAGCTTCTTTTCCTAAGGGTAGTCACCCTATCCAAGTTTTATCTATACTGAAATGTTAATTCAAATTAAAATATTCTTAAATGGTTAATGAAGTTAATTGAGGGTTGTCTTTTACATAGAACTATTAACTTTGACTCTGCAAATAGGGATATTAGAAAGAAAACAAATACAATATGTAGAAGAGGTTGAAGCTGAGCTGTGTGATGTAGGCATATAGAGATAAATGATAGAAAAGTGCTGGTTGAAGGGGACTCAATGGAAGATGGCACAGTAAAGAGAGAAAGAAAAATATCCTGAATGACATGAAGCTAATTGGAAAGGTCAGGGATACATGTGCTTTAGAATATAAATAAGGCATGCAGGGAGCACGGACTCTCCAGGTTGCATTTATGTGAGTTTTTCTTTTCTCAGAGGTATGTATATACTAATATACTCATTTTTAGGCTTTTATTTTGTTTATTTAAGCTGTGTATAACCTTAGTTTGAAGTGAATGTAACAAAGGAAGACTTGGGGCGAGGGAAAGTAATTCCCAATCGCGGGATAGAATTTTCAGCATCAATGTACCCAGAATAACAAAATTCATTATTTGTTTGTTTGTTTGTTTGTTTGTTTTTCGTTTTGAAAATAAAGAAATCATACTGTGTATTGCCAAAATCCAAGAGCTTTGGCATGATACAACTCCCAAGGTGATTATGATCCAAGATTTGTATGTTGTTGTGGAGGGTGGAAGTGAGATATGGAGGAGTAGCTGGGGATGGGAGAACTATGGCCAGGAGAAATGACGTTCATGTCATTATCTTTCTGGGCTGGTCCTACAGATTTGTTGAACTGGGGATGTTTGCAATCTCGTAAAATTCCTATTAATAAGACAATACACGCTAACATATTAACATTCTGCCTATTATCTCAGATGGAATATATGCATTTAAATATCAATGTTTAAATAGTGAAAAATTTAAGACATACTAGTGAAGGTGTTATTTTTAAACAAATGGAACCATTCAGCTTTTCTTAGTTATACATGATGACTAACACATTCATTTTGTGTAGGATTAATTCTGGCAATGGGCTCAGCATGCAATCTGTTGGATTAACAGACACTTTTATGTGTGCAGATACCTGTGAGTTCTACATTTGACTCTTTTCAAAAGGGCATTTAAACAACTTTTCATGAAATGTTTTAATGTGAAGTTATTGGTTATAAGTTATAGTTACAATATTCTTAATTTTGTCATCCAAAGACAGAGGCAACATCAATGAGGTTAAAATATCTTTCAATATACTTGGTAGGTATACCGTGGTTGGATTACGTGTAAAAATAGAGACTGTGATTCTGTTCAGTTTTTACATAGGTTTACATGTCCTGGAAATAGATCAAATTTCAATTAAGGAAATTTCATGACTGTAATTATATTTTTATTATAAAGGAATATTAAATTTTATTCTCACATATATTGAATTTTTTCTGGAGGAGATTGAAACAGCATATTAAGAATTCAGCAATTCTTTTAGGTACTATAGGTTTACTATATTTAGGCTTACTGTAAACACAATTTTGAAAATTGAAAAGAAACTGGGTTATAAGGCTACTGTATGGGGTTACTTATGTTCAAGGACAGTAAGAAATAAGTTGTAAATACATTGTTTACAGATTGATTTTATTTTGGTTTATTATTTGATGTGGAAAATGATATAGACGTGATACATGTTGAGATTTAAAAGGATAAAAATCTTGTGATATTTTAAGACTTTATTACAGATTATATTTTCTATTATTTATCGCATACCTACTATAATAATAACAAATGAAAGTACAGCATTGTAACTTGCAGGTTGATTAATAAGTTAATGACCATGCATTTAAATGGGAGTTAGAAATAGTTTAGGATTAGTGATAAAAAATACATGTAAATCTCAGAATGCCGAAATTAGGTTCTATGTCCGATATATACTATATAATGCTTTACAAAAACATAGTTATAACATTGTGCACAGTATGCGCTCAATGAGTATTGAAACTGCAATCAGAGAATAAATCATTGAACATTCTTATGGAGAAATGATTAAAAAGTAATTATTAAAGAAAAATTTCATGAAAAGCTATTATGGTAGTTTTTAAGAATTTGGCTTTTGTGGTTTTTATGATTTTTTTCATTTGCAAAAAGTTCTTGGTCTTCTTAACTCTTCTGGGTATTAGTTTCTGTGCAATATTTTATCTTTTTGAAACTCTCAGAACTATAAACCATAGCAATGTCTAGAATCAGCTCCTGCTACTATTCAAGTTCTTCCATAAATTCCTCAGCTATGTTTCTTACCCTATTTATGTCTCTCTTAACACCACATACTCCAAACATTCTTGTCTTTGCTTAGGTTTAAAGCTCTACTTTGAATGTCTAGTCTGCTTTCTTCTTTATTCCAAAAACTGTATAATTTTAAAACTTTTCTTTAAGATGCTTTCTGAGACCTTCGTTATATTACAACTATCTTTCTCCCTTAGCCTGCCTACACTGCATTCACTCACACTTAGTTGTGGTATCTGTCATACTGTCATTGATTTGCATGTTTTGGCGTATTCTTGTGTGTATGTGTGTGTGTGTGTATACAACTTGATATCATCATATATAAAGGTGCACACACAGACATGGATTTTTTTTCTTCAATATAATTGTAAAAAAGATCTTTCTGCCTACCACGTTTACTTTTCCTTGTGAGTAAAGCAGACAAATTTTGAGTGAATGAGCTCCTTGAATCTCCAGGATTTCCACTGAAGGTATATTTAAATGACTAAAAGATCTCTTTGTAGTAAGAAAGTTATAATTTAGCTATGTTTTGTATTAATTAGGACTACCTGGAGAACCTACTCAGCTTTTATGACTTTTTATTTTGAGTCAGAGTCTCTCTCTGTCACCCAGGCTGGAGTGTAGCAGTGTGATCTTGGCTCACTGAAACCTCTGCCTCCTGGGTTCAAGAGATTCTCCTGCATCAGCCTCCCGAGTAGCTGGGACTACAGGCGTGTGTTACCACGCCCAGCTAATTTTTGTATTTTTAGTAGAGACGGGGTTTCACCGTGTTAGCCAGGATGGTCTCGATCTCCTGACCTCGTGATCTGCCCACCTCGGCCTCCCAAAGTGCTGGGATTACAGGCATGAGCCACAGCGCCCGGTCTTATGACATCTTTTTAATAAGAATAAAATCTAAATTCAAATCAACTAATTTATAACACCACTGTAGGAACACATTCTCTTCACCGAAGGGAGATGGCCTAATTCTATCACTTACTGGCTTTGTGCTACTCTATACATCATTGCAGAAGAATCTAACCTGCCCTACCCAACAAAGGCATTTTTGTTCAAGAGCATATACTCTGCTCTATAGTGGAGTCTCTCTAGGCTAAGATCCTAAAAGTACTTAAATGCCAGGTATGGAAATGGAGTAGGGTCAAGGTTATTTGGAAAGCTGAAAAGAAATTAGGCCTATTGGGGTTAGGGAGAAGCCTTTGGGGCTCTCAGAGAATTGGCAATTCCCAGTAAAGGACTAAAGTCTTTGAGGAAATTGGTTCCTTTAAGGCTTTAGCAGATCTGCTCATTTTTATTTCTGGTTTTGCAGCACTAAGATTACCTTGGAAGGAGAATCACATCATTGAAGGCAAAGTGATCTGGGCTACAAATAATTGGTAGCATGTCCATTAGATTTTGCAAGTACACACATGAATATAAATGTATGTTTGATCTTCTCTCTCTCTCTCTCTCTCTCTCTCTATATATATATATATATATGATGCTGAAAGTCATATATATACACACACACACACATATACACGCACACGAGATGCACTCCAGCCTGGGTGACAAAGTA